TTGAATAATATCTTGCATCTTTCTGTATTTAATGCATATCAAATTTGTCTAACCAACAAATTTCTTTTTTGTCTGTATAAACCATCTTGACTTAGTGATTCGGACAATAATATGTAATGTTTAACTAACTAATTCTCATTGCATATGTTTTTGTACTCGTCACCTCTCATTACCTGGATGTGCACTTTTACTTTTTCTGCCTTCAGATTATTTTGTCTTGCTGTAATGTCTGTTCTTTTCCCGTGTATACACCAAAACAAATTCATTGTATACTTATACTCTAAAGTCTTTATAAAGTATTCATACGGATGGTAATGCATTATGTGTGTTTGCCCTTCATTTGTCGAAGAAAGGCACCAGTGCAGTACGGTTTAATTTTTACACACTGTGTCAAATACCCACAGCAGCCTGTGTCCTCTCTGAAATATTAATGAATCCTGTCGATATGGAGAGAGAGAGAGAGGGAGATGCCAGGGTAAAATGTTGACCATGTTGACATTTCATCTTCACTAATTAGAACCGCTTTGAGGTGTTTTTTAACCACATTTTTATCCACTTGCACTGAATCCATTCATGCTTTTGCAACGAATTCAATTGATATCCATTTATCCCAAGCAGAAAACATCCATTTATTCTCGCATTGTCATAATGACACAAGCCAGCACAGTATCACGTTGTCAGCGTGTTTCTGGAATTAAACGCGAGGGCATCCTAAAGAGGCGCATGTAAATCATCCTCCGCTTTCCCTGTAATCCTTCCCGTGTTGTGTTCGACTCACTGGCTGAGACTGGGGGGAAATATCACTGGTCTAAGCCACGGTGCAAAATTTGGAAATCTGTTGTGCGATGTGTCTTTCCATATGTGAGATGCATGTCTATATATCAGCGCGGGCAAATGCACATGCCTCTAAAAAGCCGATGCAAACTAAAGTGAGAGACTGCTTTAGTGTGTAGTTAGTTGTCTGGATAATGGCTCTCTCTTGAGGGTTTCCGTGACTCTGTTTTCTGTGTGTAATGGAGAGAGGGAGCTTAAGCTCGCCTGAATGCATCACACAACATCTCGCACTCGAGCACTTTCACTTCTTTCCCCGGACTGAAGCTCAACGTTCCCTCCTGCTGGTGGAGAGAGGTAAAGTCCTGCTGGTGGAGAGAGGTAAAGTCCTGGTGGGGAGAGAGAGGTAAACTCCTGGTGGGGAGAGAGAGGTAAAGTCCTGCTGGTGGAGAGAGGTAAAGTCCTGCTGGTGGAGAGAGAGGTAAACTCCTGCTGGTGGAGAGAGGTAAAGTCCTGCTGGTGGAGAGAGGTAAAGTCCTGGTGGGGAGAGAGAGGTAAAGTCCTGCTGGTGGAGAGAGGTAAAGTCCTGCTGGTGGAGAGAGGTAAAGTCCTGCTGGGGAGAGAGAGGTAAAGTCCTGGTGGGGAGAGAGAGGTAAACTCCTGGTGGGGAGAGAGAGGTAAAGTCCTGCTGGTGGAGAGAGGTAAAGTCCTGCTGGTGGAGAGAGAGGTAAAGTCCTGCTGGTGGAGAGAGGTAAAGTCCTGGTGGGGAGAGAGAGGTAAAGTCCTGCTGGGGAGAGAGAGGTAAAGTCCTGCTGGTGGAGAGAGAGGTAAACTCCTGCTGGTGGAGAGAGGTAAAGTCCTGGTGGGGAGAGAGAGGTAAAGTCCTGGTGGGGAGAGAGAGGTAAAGTCCTGCTGGTGGAGAGAGGCAAACTCCTGCTGGTGGAGAGAGAGGTAAAGTCCTGCTGGGGAGAGAGAGGTAAAGTCCTGCTGGTGGAGAGAGGTAAAGTCCTGCTGGGGAGAGAGAGGTAAAGTCCTGGTGGGGAGAGAGAGGTAAAGTCCTGCTGGGGAGAGAGAGGTAAAGTCCTGCTGGGGAGAGAGAGGCAAAGTCAAGTCAAGTCACCTTTATTTATATAGCGCTTTTTACAATACAGATTGTATCAAAGCAGCTTCACAATGATAACATGAAAATAATACAACAAAGTTTGTTTCTAAAAGAAAATTGCGTCAACGTCCACCTTAAGTAAGGCAGATCAATAATATTATTGAATATTAAATGTCCCCAACTAAGCAAGCCAAAAGCCAAGGCAACAGTGGCAAGGAACCAAAACTCCATCAGAGACAGAATGGAGAAAAAAAACCTTTGGAGAACCCAGACTCAGTCGGAGGGCCAGTTCTCCTCTGGCCAACGAAGGAACATTGTATGATTCGGGCAGCGTTACAAGTCAGACTGGATCAGAACATTTAGAGTATTTATCCATTTCCATCTTTTTGGAAGTCGAAGTAATCACACCGGTATGGAGACGAGTTGTTGAGGATCAGTGCCGTCCACCATGGAGGGTCCATATCGCCGGCGTTGAGTCGTCTCTTCACAGGCTTTGTGATTGGGGCATCTGAAGTCTCCGTGAGAGGCTAAAGTCCTGCTGGGGAGAGAGGTAAAGTCCTGCTGGGGAGAGAGAGGTAAAGTCCTGCTGGGGAGAGAGGTAAAGTCCTGCTGGGGAGAGAGAGGTAAAGTCCTGCTGGGGAGAGAGAGGTAAAGTCCTGCTGGGGAGAGAGAGGTAAAGTCCTGCTGGGGAGAGAAAGGTAAAGTCCTGGTGGGAGAGAGAGGTAAAGTCCTGCTGGGGAGAGTCGTTATAGTCAGAGATCCCTGCGATGATAAACCGCAGGCCTGAACCTCTTGATATTCACGATGGCTTCGCGAGCGGTGGAGAATAATTGCATTGATGTGCTTTTACATAAAAGTTATTAAAATGGAATGGTATGCACAAGCAATAAAGAAAGAGGCACAAATCAGATATTAGCATTTGTGTGAAAGCAATGGCATAGAATAATAATTCATATTCTCACAGCCTTTTTTTATGGCCTCGCTGTAACCCCATATGAATTTCAGGGGGGCAGAGATGGGTGTCAAATATCCTGACTTTAGCACAGCGAGCGAGGGCTATTAAAACCAGCCGGCTTCGAAACCCCCGTCCTCCAACTCACTCTCTCCTGTTCGTGTTCTTCCTCATTGGTCTTTTGTGTGAAATTATAGCAGCCCCTCCTCTTCATCTCTCTCTCTCTCTCTCTCTCTCTCTCTCTCTCTCTCTCTCTCTCTCTCTCTCTCTCTCTCTCTCTCTCTCTCTCTCTCTCTCTCTCTCTCTCCTGCTGCAGATCCTGCATATGTTATTGAAGGCAGAGACAGCAGTTTTATATAACACGGGAGTAGATGCCTGCATTAACACATCCAGACTGAACGATAACATCCAGTTGGCCTAATCTTGTGTTCAACATCAGCTTTGGTGAAATTAAATAAGCAGTTTCTCAGTCTCGCAGCGTCTGAGATGAACAAACCCTGCATGGTTTAAAGATAGAGTTCATCATTTTTATCATCATTTACTTTCCCTCATGATATTTCAATACTATATGACTTTATCACTAATGGTGTTGAGCTAGTTTTCCCCCTATGCAATTCGAGTGGATGATGGAGAAAATAAAGTGCCACAGGGTGTGTGCACTATATTCCAAGTCTTATAGCTTTATGTGAGGAATTTAATTTGATATGATTCATTGAGAATTTAGCTTGACAGCCATTCACTTCTATTGTATGGAAAAGAGAAGCTTGGACATTTTACTATGAACTCATTTTCTGTTCAGTGGGATAAAGAGAGTCATACGGGTTTCCAAAGACATGGGGACATTGTGAGATCAAGTTTAAAATATAAAATTGGTCAGGTTTAGGGTAAGCTTAAGGTTAATATATAAAGTGTTTTTTATCCTACTTTTCCAGATACCGGAACAATCAATATATACTGCATTCTTTATACAATATTATCAAGAAAATGATCTGCTAATTATATTCATCAGTAGAACCACCGAAGAAGAAACCACATCTTCCAAATTGCATTTAAATAGGGAAAAGGAATGGATGCTCAGATCATTGTTTGGTTTTCTTATGGGTTTTTTTTTCTGTTTCTTTTATTTTTACATCTCAATACATTTTAGAAACTTGCATTCACCAGAAGACAGAAATGTATTTTTTGGTGTACTGTCCCTTTAAACAATACAGTTAGAAGAACGATTTCATGCATAAAAGTCGATGTGGAAGATGTGGAAAATGCATACATCGTGTTGTTGGTGAAATGTTAGTGTGCTAATTTTATTAGGCAAGTGTGAATAAGGAGCAAATACAAGTCCAGTTGGGCATTAGCAAATGTTGATACATGCAAGTAAGAATCATGATGTCTGCTTAGTTTTACCTTCTCACTGTCTTAATGTGTCCAACAGTATTTGCATCAATTTCATGTTTAATACAAGCATTCTCTTAAACGTGTGTGTGTGGGGGGTGGGGGTGGGGGTGGGGGTGGGGGGGGGGGGGGGTGAACGTGATTTCACCAAGTACCACATGTTCCGGGATCAACATCTTTGATCAGATTTGAGGGACAAGTTTACAGTTTATGTCAAGTTTAGGCTTAGAACCAGGGTGAAGTACTTAAACATCAGTGTTATTCACCTTTCATTACCCTCTGATTTTAGGAAAAAGATATGGGTAGGGTTAGGTTTAGGGGTAGGGATTGGGTAAGGACTACATTTTGGACCATGTCTTACTTGGCAAAATCACGGTGACCCGTGCGTGTGTGTGTACATGTTTTTCGATCCCAGTGGGGACTTAAACCTGAATGCACACAGACTCATGTGGACTCGTGTCACTGTAGGACCTAAATTGAGGTACACTAGCTTATAAACCATACAGAATTAATATATTTTTGTAAATATGCAGAAAGTTTTGTGTGATGGGTAGGTATAGGGGTACGGTTAGTGTAAGGGGACAGAATATACAGTTTGGACAGTATAACAACCATTACCTCTATGGAGAGTCCCCACAAAGAACAAAGATAGTGAACCAGACTGTGTATGTGTATGTGCGTGTGCATGTGTGTTTGGGAAGGTTATGTGGAGAGAGATTCCCAGACAGAGGGAAGCGACTCAGCATGAGAGCTAAAGCGTTTGTCCCTGTGTTCTGGTTCCTGCAGGATTGCACCCATGGAGCGGCTGCTGCTGGTCCTGGCTCTGTTCTCCATGCCGTCCCACGCCATGCTGTGTCCCAAACGCTGCACCTGCCAGAACCTGCTGCCCTCCTACACCGTCCTGTGTGCCAAAACCGGCCTGCTCTTCGTCCCACCCAACATCGACCGGCAGACCGCCGAGCTGCGACTGATGGACAACTTCATCACCACCCTGCGCCACCGAGACTTCGCTAACATGAGCAGTCTCATACACCTCACGCTCTCCCGAAACACCATCAGCCAGATCCAACCGTACGCCTTCGCCGACCTGCAGGATCTGCACGCGCTACATCTCGACGCAAACCGGCTCACGGCGCTGGACGACACACATTTACAGGGGCTGGTGAATCTACGACACCTTATCCTCGCAAACAACCAGCTTCACAGCATCTCGGAAGGAGCCTTTCAAGACTTCCTAGAAACTCTTGAAGATCTCGATCTTTCTTATAACAATCTGGTGGATTTGCCGTGGGACACTATATCTATGCTATCCAGCGTTAACACTCTTAGTTTGGATCACAATCTCATCGACTTCGTGCCTGAAGGGATATTTTCAAATCTTCACAAATTGGCTAGACTGGATATGACGTCCAACAAGCTGAAGAAGATCCCGCCGGATCCTCTGTTCCTACGCATCCCGGTCTACGCGAAAACAAAAGGCTCGCCGCTAACCGCGCTAGTGCTCAGTTTCGGCGGGAACCCGTTGCATTGTAATTGCGAGCTGGTTTGGCTTCGACGCCTGACGCGGGAGGACGATCTGGAGACGTGCGCGTCCCCGCGAGAGCTAGCGGGGAAATACTTCTGGACGATTCGCGAGGAGGAGTTCGTGTGCGAGCCGCCCATGATCACTCGGCACACGTCGAAGATGTTCGTGATGGAAGGTCAAGAGGTTAGTTTGCGATGCCGCTCCGTCGGAGACCCCGAGCCGACCGTTCACTGGGTCAGTCCTGACGGCAAGCTAATCGGGAACACCTCGCGCACCGTGTGCTACGATAACGGCTCTCTGGATATCTTGACGGCTACGGTGAAAGACTCCGGCGTGTTCACATGCATCGCGTCCAACGCTGCCGGAGAGGCTACGGCTCCGGTGGAATTAGTCGTGAACCCTTCGCCGCATTACGACCCCAAACTGGAGCCTGAACCGGGACCCTCGGACATGCCGACATCCATAAAGTCCAACAGTAGTGGAAGTGGAGGCCAGTCTCGAGCTGATCAGCGGGTCAGTGTCTCAGAAATAACCTCAAGCTCAGTGATGATCCGCTGGCCTCCTCAAAGCCACATCCCTGGAGTTCGCATGTACCAGATCCAGTACAACAGCTCCACCGATGACATCCTCATATACAGGTGAGCTTCAGCCCAGATTCTGTTCTCTATGATTTCAGGGTTATTATAGTTAACTAAATCTGAAACTTTTAGACTACACAATATTTTTTGTCTGTTATGATACTCACCGTGTCAGATTATGTGCTTTTGACTCCTAAATGCTTGTTGTGTTGTGGACAAGAAACATGTAAGACTACACGACCAATCATCACTTGCCGTCTTTAAGAATGTGCGTGATGACTAACTTTGGAAACACAAACGTAAATAGCTTTCTGTCCTCTGTGATTTACGGCAGTGTTATTTCAGGGTACGGTTACACAACAACAATATGCTTAAAACGGAGACGTTTTTTTCCTTTGAGTTTTCCGCGTACAGACGAAACCATTGTCAAAACAATACCGATTCACACGGATCCGCAAAACGACTAAAAAACGCTGTATTCTGCTGCCATCGTCTTCAGAGTTTCGCGTTTTTGTTGTTCACACAGACACCATTTTCAAAAACATGCATTTTGAAACCCGCTTTTTCAAAAGTTTGCGTTTTCAGGCAACCAAAACGCTGTTGTCGTGTAAACGAACGGCCAAAACAAATTAAAATTTTACGTTTTTAGTTGAAAATGGTGTCGTGTAAACAGCCCCTTAGTCAGGGTTATTGTAGTCAGCTAAACCTGAAACATTTAGTCTACATAATACTTTTGTTTGTTATGATACTCACTGTGTCAGATTATGCGCTTTTGACTCCTAAATTCTTCTTGTGTCGTGGACATGAAACATGTCAGAGCAACATCACTTGCCGTCTTTAACGACGTGTGTGATGTCATAGAGAAGGCGGAGCTAGCGACTGACTTATGGAAACAAGAACGTAAACAAAAGCGGCGTGATAGCTTAATGCTATCCCAGCACCAATACCATCGTCTCTTTCGTTTCGCCATGTTTGAAAGCTGCGTATGGAAGTGGTCAATGTCACAGATGTGACTGAACCCGTCGTGGAGGACCGAGAATAATAAACATGCTAGTCTTTCTATCGTGACATCATGAAGCGTTGCAGACTGTTGTCGTTCACTATGACACGCTATACGAGATTTTAGGCTGACGAATCGCCACGACACTCTACGTCAAACGGATCGTTCCTAAATCAGGCTAATATTGTGTCTGAACCCGGGATAAAACCATATTTAAAGGTTCTCTAAGCGATCCTGGGTGACGTCACTTCTTGTTGACGTTCGAACTATTGTCAAACAAAACGGAGGCTAGCTAGACCCTCCCTCCTCCTCATCCGCACACTAACCCCCCAAACCACACCCCCAAACCCTTCTTGTCGGTGATTGGCTAGAACAGTTTGTTATGTTTTGGGGAGCGGGTCGCTGCAGTTTGTTTTTGTTGCTGTGTGTGGAGCCAGGGCTGTCTACAGAGATCGCGTTTCTTTACAGTGTGTTCAGGGGACAGGCAGCCAGCGGATAGTGAGGAGATGTTTGCTGTATGTGACAAAAAATGTTTTGGCCTAAAAAACGCGTGACATCGCTTAGAGCACCTTTAAAAGAAAAATCAACTGTTGCTTGAAATAAAAGATGTTTACTGAATTAAAATAAAACATAAACAACTTAAACTTACTTTATTTCAGCTAGTTGCCAATGCAACTTTTTTCATCTTGATGTGGTTTAACTTTATGTACTAAAATAACTAAAACTAAAAATATGTAAAAACGATTTAGACATTAAAAAAAAAACTATTAAAAATGAAGAAATTCGCAACTAAAATTAAAATGAAAACAGAAAATATAACAATTAAAACATTCAAAATATCAATAACAACTATAATAGTATCTCAATAATACTGAAATAACTCTGATTTTAGAATAATGAGATACTATTATTGTACTATTATAGTTGTAAATAGTTTGAATTAGTTAAAATGTTTATATTTTTTATTATTATTATTATTATTATTATTATTATGTCTATATATTTTTTTATTCATTTTAATTTCAGTTTTAGGTTTAGTTATTTTACTACCTAAACCAAATGAAAATGAGCATCCTTGGCAACTAGCTGGAATAAAATGGGATTTTATGTCGATTTACGTCAAGTTAATGTCTAGTAGCAGCATTTTGTAAGCTTTTAGTTTAAGTTCAGTATAATTACGCAGGCTTGCAGTGATTTTATCGGTGATTAGACAGCAGACAGCACTCATGTTAGTGTACTAAGGACGTGAGCGGCGTGTCTGAATGTGTCAATGCTAAAATGCTTTTATTTTAATCGATGCGTCTACACTGGACTGGAGGCCGACAGACGCACTATTGATATTTCTGATGCACTTCTCCAGACACTTTATCATCCCCTTCCATAAGAAATAAAAGGATTTTACCAACATTAATTAAATGATTTACAGATTTTTTTTTTTTTTTTTTTTTTTTTATTCAGAGCCAGCTCATGGTTTCTCTTCTCTCTGATCTACTCATTTTAATCAGCTTTTGCCTCTAATGTATTCCCAGCTGCAGGAATATCAACATTATAATAATTATTATAATATAATGAAGTTAAAAATAAAGTTGTGTACATAGTTATTCACCCGGGTCAAACATCAAGCTCACAGTTGATTCTGCCTGTATAATTTTGAAAAGGTTTATGGAAACATTGCAATGTGACATGGAGATTACAGCAGTTTAAGATTCAACTAATTCTCTTAAATCAATGTCAAGGCAAAAACATGCAGCTTGAATGTCCGCATTTACAATCAAGTTTGTTGATATGAAACTCATAAATGCAAGACTTGCCGACGGTGGTAAAAAATCTCTCGTTCTGAAACGCGATATTTGAGAGAGCTCTTTGGATGGACTATCTCCCCGAATGGGTTTTGAATCTGGGTAATTCTGCATTAGATAAACAAATTGATTCTGTCTTTGTTCAAAGGGAAAGGCTGGCATCTGAGATGGGGGTGTTAATGGCTTATGGCGCAATCCTATTCAGATAGTGGATGAAACATTGCAACTCCTCTGATGAATACAAATGGACCTCAATGATTGCCAGCCAACAAAGACACAACAATATCATGAATGCAATATATGAAATACATCCATACTTTTGTTCTGTGCTAATCAAAGGATCCTCCGACGGGAACGGCTGTTTTAGGGTCTCCGCTCTACACGTCAGAAAAGCTCTTGAAGGATTTTCATTAGTGCGCTGACAGATTGGCTTCCACGGTAATACTTTCAGCCTGATGCAATTCAAACCGAATTTTGCAAAGCAGGATCCAGCAGACGCATTGACACCCTTCAATAAATCACAGCGCTTGAGGTGCACTGAGGAAGACAATAATAACAGAATAACAATAGAAGCTGCGCATCAAGCGCTTGCCCTCGTTTCTGATGCTCCGGAAAGATCACAATGAAGGCGTATTTGCATTGATGTTGAAATATGTCTCACATTCAAAACCCAGTCTTTTGCTTTGTGCTATATAAAGAGGATATGTTTTGGGTTGCGTGTCGATAATGCCAGCCTTTATGCGGAAACGACTTGTTTTTAGCATTCAGCCGCGGCCACACTGCCATGACTCCTCACTGAAGGCGTCTGTGAGGATGTAATTAACTCCTGCAATAATCCCTGTGGATAGATTAAGAGAGAAGAAAAGATACATACAGAAAGCAATTTGCTATTAATTATGGAAAAGGCAAGGGGAGTTCTTTGGTTTATAGAGCTGCAGAGTAATCTAAAAGTCTTTCAGAATCAATTAGGAATGCATGCGGCAGACTCCCCGTCCGACGGCGAGCCGGGCGAGAGCACAGATGACTGCGAGATGGTGGCCGAGGTGAGAATGTAGAGTGTAAACTGTGAGCTGAAAAGACAGGTTAAATTTGAAGTGATGTGTGGGTGAAAGAGCGCTGGAGGCTCAGTGTGCATGATGCCAGACGCAGACCTGGAGGAAGAGCGAGGTGTGTGTCAGACGCAGTGCATTGACATCAACATACGTTCTCTTCCCAGACGCGCTCTTCAAGCCACTGGCAGGAAAGTGGAGCTCTTCTTGGACACGTTGCTCTACTGTGTAAATTTCACACACCCATATCGAAATCGCGAATTTTGAAGGCGTAATGTTTATTTAAAGGGCACATATTATGGCATTTAAAATAATTAGGGATGCACGATGATATCGGGACAACATAAAAGGTTAAAATGACCATAGTCGGCATCGGCCGATATTAATATTTCTGATGAGCCTTGCCGATAGGGTGGCGTGTTTCCTATGCGCACGTGACGACCGTGAACGAAGCATGAGCGCCAGCAACTTAAACTTCCAACTAGGGGTGTGCGTCTCACGCAGTTTTTGATCGTGGATGATTAAAATATCTCTTCACGATCTGCTTTTGAAGAAAAATCATAGTATCGTGCATTCAGTTCAATTCTGGCGCCTTACTGTACAACGCGACGTACATTCACATCACATCACATGTAAACGCAGAGGTAGAGTTACACTCACGGGACACTGCAATTCACAAAAGTTCATTATTTGCATGTGCGTCAAAGTCTTGCTAGTTAAACATGTCATTCACGTGCTGATGCGCTGTTCTAACATCCGCTTTTCTGAGCGCGTTACACCCGACGCTCACAGGAACTAAAGCCTGTCACAGCGCCTGCATACTGGACTAATCTTTCGAGTCTTATTGCGCTGATACTGTCAAATACACACACGGTTTACATAAACAATGTTGGTTATGTCTAAAGTGAAAGCAAACGGAGAAAATCTGCTTGTCAAATGCGTGTATATTAGACGCGTCGCGTGCAGTTCTTAAAGAGACAGTAATAATATGCTGCCGCTTGTCCTTAAAGAGATACTGCACCCAGAAATAAAAATTCTGTCATTATTTACTCACTCTAATGTTGTTCCAAACCTGTATTCATTTCTTTCTTGTGCTTAAATATACTATGGAAGTCACTGGAGTACAGCAACTGTTTGGTTAGCCACATTCTTCCAAATAACTTTTATTTTCAACAGAAGAAAGAAACTTGAGAGAGTAAATGATGACAATTA